GTATGGGCGGTGCTGGCCCAGGCACGCGGCACAGGCCCCGGCTCCAGGCATGCAGCTCATGGGTGGTGGTGGCCCTGCCCCCAGGCACACAGGACATGGGCTGTTCCGGCCCCGGGCACGCGGCATTTGGGTGGCCCCACCCCTGGGCGTGTGGCGCATGGGTAGTGCCTGCTCTGGGCACGCAGCATATGGGTGGTCCCGCCTCCAAGCACATGTGTGGCCCCAACCCCGGGCACCCGGCAGCCCCAAAAGGTTGGGGACCACTGATCTAGAGCAGTATTATGATCTTACTACAGGGAAACAAGGAGAACAAGGGAAACCTGCAGGATGAACAGTCTACAAATTCTTCAAGTGGTTTGAGAGCACGTAACAGTTGTAAGGCTTATAAACAGAAAAGTCTACACTTTGCGTTAAAAAAACAAACAAAAAATCTCACCACCCCCTACAAGAGAACATAGCTATTTATTGTCCTCTCCAGCCAAAATTATGGTTATGAATGAAATATTCAGAAATTTGGGTTCCCTCAAGATCAGAAATTAGCATTTTTGATTAAGAGACCTTGAGACTGCTGGGATGAGGTCAGTGAAGGCAGGATTACATTCATTTTATATTAGCAGCGTAGGGGACCTCATATTAATCTGAGTTAAAACTCACTGCAAAAAGGTAGCAGCTCCAACATACTCCAGATGAGATGGGGAGGTGTATGAGAACTTTTTTTTTTTTTTTTTTACTTCCTCCTGGCAGATTTGAGGGGGTTGCCAGGCTGCACATTCCTTTACATTGGCATAGTACAGAGAATGCATATATCTTTAAAAAACAGTCCTGTTGCAAGGTGAAACGCAGCATATAAGGCTGTCCAGTACTCAGCCTGGAATCAGGTGCATTATAAGCTTTACTCTCTGCTGTAAAATGTCTCTGAGGGACATGAGTGTTCTTCGTCTCAGACTGGATTCCAATCCAAGTTGTTTCATTGGCTGCATTAGTTCTAATTTACAAGTGTACTCTGAGGGGGAAAGCGGGTGTGAAAAGCAACACCTAACACTCTGTTCATGTGTCCTCAGAGCAGGAGATGTTGTGCTGCATTATCTTTTCCCCTTGTCAGCAGCTAGATCCTGGCTTCAGATCTAGGAAAATACTACAGTGGCAAAGCCCATCCTCACTAAGATGAGCAGACGGCCGTAAACTATTCCTTATACAGTTTGGACCTCCCTGGTCTGGCACCCTTGGGACCTGACCAAGCCTGATCCAGCAAGTTTGCCAGATAAGGGGAGGCCCCTCTGCTCCTGGCCCCCAGACTCTGCTCCTGGCCCCTGGCTGTGGGCCTCTGCTTCTAGCCGCTGATGCCAACTCTGGCTCCCAACCCTGGCTGCTGGGCCCAGGCTCTGCTTCAGGCTTCCCAGCTCTGCTCCTGGCCACCCGTTCCTGACTGCCAGCCACCGAACTCCAGCCACCAGGCTCCAGCCCCTGGCCTAGCTACAGCCCCGGCTGCTGAGCTCCAATTCTAGGACTCCACTTCCAACCACCAGCCTACTCTGCAGTCCAGCAACATCTGTGGTCCTGCTGTGCCATTTTTTTCCCTGTAAGTGCTCCAATCCTGGAGACCCATGGGGTCCCTGACGATGATGGACCATGGATGCTGCTGGACCAGAGAGTCCCAGACTAGAGAGGTTCCACCTGTTACAAATAGGTTTTTGGCCACATATAGACAGACAAAAAAGTCATTTGACCCACTGTACTAGCTCTAGGCCCCACTCTACACCATTAGCTTGGCCAGTGGAAGGAACTTATGAGCACTTTCACATACTCCATCCAGTGTGGGGCTGTGGAGGTGGTGGTAAGTACCTATGATACCAATCTACTGGCATCATAGTGGTGCTGCAAGTGGGTCTATTCCAAACGGTAGAATGAAAGCTGTTGTAAGGATTTTTTTTAAGTGGCAGTTACCATGTTTCTTCTATTTCAAATCCCTACTGTAGACAGGACACACTGCATTGTACAGGTTCTCTCCTAGGGTTCACTTCAACCAGCTAAAATGTGTAAAAGATACAACTTGTCCTGTGTCCACTACGGTTTTAATTGATTTTTAAGACCAGAAAGAACGATTATTTACTGTTACTTGAGTAATACAAATAAATATTCTGACTTCCTGCAGAAGAAGGCCAGTGAATTCCATGCAATCACTTCTGCATCAAACCCATAACTTGTGGCTGAGCTAGAGCGTAGCTTTTGGGAAGACATTCAGTCTTAATTTAAAGCCTTCAAGCGATGAAGAGTCTACCACATTCCTAGGCTTTAAACTATGTGAGTGAACAATTAAGAAAACTCCTTTTATCCTGGCTTAGGCACATCCAAGAAAACAGATGTTCTGTCAGGGGCTGAGGGAAACTCTGGCAGTAAACTCAGGAAGGAAGGATCTGTAATGAGTCATTTTTGAACTGGAGGAGTGTGCTCAGAGGGTGTGTCTACATAGCAGCATTATTTTGGAATGACGGCTGTTATTCCGAAATAACTATGCGAGTGTCTACACAGCAATTCCGTTATTTTGAAATAATTTCAAACTAACTGATGGCTTATTCCAGCTTTTGTAAACCTCATTCTAAGAGAAATAACACCTATTCCAAAATAGCTTTTTCAAAATAAGGTATGTGCAGACGCTCTACTTCTGCTATTTAGAATGGCCCTGGTGAGGGGCTATTCGAAATTATTCCTCTGGGGCTCTAAATTGAGATATTTTGAAATAAGCTAGCACATCTACACTTCAGGGAAGCCTCCAAATTAGTCCAAGGTAGGCTTCCCTAATGTAGATGTGCTATTTTAGATTAACTATTCTGCAATAGCTTATTCTCAAATAACTGTGCAGTGGAGATGTAGCCAGAGCCTCTGTCACTCAGCTAGGGCTAAGCCACTCCAAATGATTCCAGATCTATGGATATAGGGTCCCTTTGAGAGCAGCCACTCCAGTAGGGTGACCACATAGCAAATGTGAAAAATCAGGATAAGGTGTGTGTATGGAGGGAGGTAATAGTCACCTATATAAGACAAAGCCACAACTATTGGAACTGTCCCTATGAATCTGGGACATCTGGTCACTCTACATTCCAATCAAACAACACTGCTAACCCCATTTGCTGTTTGATGGCACTGGCAGACTGCTCCTGCTCCAATCTCAACCTCTGCTTGCTCCTGCTCTGTTACAGTCCCAGCCCCAGTCTGTCCTTCTCCCGGCTTCTGCTTTAGCCTTGTTTCAACCCCATTCTTGATCCTTGTTCCTGTCCCCAGCCCAACCACTTATGCTTAACTGCTGCTGCTCCAACCACTATACCTGACCATCCAGTACTCAGTTTCTGACTGGTTGTCTAGGAAGAGGTGAAGATTCCTAGGGGGCCACATTTAGCCCTTTTCTTTTGGACACTGGCTAAAGAAAGACACATTGCATGGGGCTTTCCTCACCTGAAGTAAAGACTAGCCTAACCAGCAGAGGATTGTGTAGACTTAAATGTCTAAACTTTATCTCAATCATAATTTTTATTCTAAGTGAAAACATAAATGTAAAGGATATCCGGCTACTTTAAAGACTAAAGAAATAGAGTTGCACAAAGTAGCGAGGCTTCTTAGAGGAAAACTGGCTGCAAATGAAATCAAGGGTGCAGTTTCCTTTTACATTTGAGCTGACATAAAGAGAAAGGGGTTTTCCTTGAACTGTAAACAGTTCCCTTCTAAGTGATGTTTGGTTGAGACAGTTGGAAGCTCATACCAGTGTAGATGCCCAGCAAGGTATAGATTAAGGTCTTGGTTGGCCCACTCGACACAGAGATGTTAGCTGTAGCATTTGTCATGCAGTCATATGCTCCGCAACACATCAGATCTTCTTTGGAGACTTCCACTATTTCAGTAACAAGGAAAACAAAGGCAGAACATGAGGGAGGTCAGATAAGCCCAGTTCAAGGCAATAAGTAGAATGGATCCAAGTAACAAAGGTTGATCATAGATCCAAATGTCCCCTAAGTTCAGCAATATTCTAGTTTAGACATTTCCAAAGACAGGACCAGCTACGGAGTTGGAATCCTGAGTTGTGCTGTTCCAAAGTTTGGAACTGTTCTTAGCTGGGCTTTGGTTCACCCTACTCTTTATAAGACTTGTAGGGGGAGGCACATGCTTTCTAAGGCCTGAAGTCACCCTGCATAAATTTCAAAATGGTTGACAGTTCAGTATTCAAGGTTTTTTTTTATTTTTTTTATTGAAGCTTTATTTGAATTACTTGGGTCTGCAAACCAAGGCTGGAAATCTGAGGCAGAGGCTTCCCTGGGAGACTTTTTTCTGGATCACAAGAGATCTTGGGAATTGGTGCTTTTCTTGAAATATTGGACTTTAGCATGCCTATGAAAAAGAGTCAGAAGGGTTGCCATGTTAGTCTGTTAGTCATTAAAAACAATGACTACAGCTTGAAACTCTCTTAACCAGGATTCTCTGGACCAGCAACATCCATGGTCCAGCATGGATGTTGCAGGACTAGAGATGCCCAGCGGCAAGGATCCCTGTGGGACTGGCAGGGCTGTGGGCTGCCCACAATCAGCTGAAGGTGGGGCCACCCAGCTGAAGGTGGGCAGTGATGGCTGCCCAGTGGGGTTGGCAGAGCAGTAGGTAGAAAGCCGGCTGTGAGGCCAGTGAGCCGGGCCTAGGGGCTTGGTGGCAAGGGTCCAGAAATGACTTCCTCTGATCCGGCAAAATCCCTCATCCAGGGCCGGTTAGGTCCTGAGAGTGCCAGACCAGGGAGGTCCAACCTATAGTCCTAATTTTTTAGTCTCTAAGGTGCCATAGGAATACTCGTTGTGAAAAAAATACAAGTTAAATGAGCTTTCCTGAACCTAAACAAAAAACCTCAGAGCAAGTTCTGGGCAAAGATGGGATTGGCAAGATTCTTAATTTGACCAAAATGATCCTTTCACCTCTTTATATGTATTTCCAGTGCAGCAATAACTCCAGTCACAGTACTAAATAAATGGTTATCTGTAGAAATAGTCCTAATCTGTAATCACAGACCTGACTTCATCCTCATTTTTTGAGAATGGGAAGTTCGACTAAATATGGGGATCTCAGATTTTTCAGATGGGTCTAATTTGTTATAAGTCAAACCAACATTGTTTGGAACATCCCTACTGGGGGAGGGGAGGCAAGTGTACAAAATCCGTTTGGGATCCAATGGGGGTTACCTTCGATACTTGGGATATCAGGGAGGACACTGGACCATGATACCAAACTAGAACCCAGGTAACTTGAGTTCTTACCCCACAAAGAACCTTGATTTAGTCACTTCTCTGAATCTTAGTTTTCCATTTGGTAAAATGGAGCTAATGATGAAACCCTTTTTCACAAGATCCCTTATTCCTCGAAAAATGAGGTTTACAGGATCTTGCAGAAAAAGGGGGGTTTTCCGACAAATGGCCTCATCTACACAGGGCTTTTTAGCAGCAAAACCTCATCTTCAAAAAGGATCGGCAGAAGATATGCAAATAAGAGCACAATTTGCATATCTTCTGCTGAAAAAAAATGGCAGTGTAGACATAGCCAGAAGAGTGAACCTGAAGAGACGAGGAGGAAAAGAGAGAGCGCCTTAAAATTAATTCAACAGCTTTCATTGCAAAGATTGGCAGTTCCTGAATAAGTGGGAAGAGAGTTTAGCTAAGTTGATTCCTTCTTTAAAAAGGCCTATTGTGGGGCTATTTTAAATATTAATTGCAGTTGGTTGGTGGGGCTATTTTAAATGTTTGCTGACCATATACACAAATCAAATTTACCTTTGGGGCAAGTCTACAGCACAGGGCTACATTGGTGCAGCTGCAATTTATATGGGCTTAGGCAGCACTGGAGAGCTGCCATGCGGTAAAAGTTAACAAGGTGGATAAAGCGATCACCTTGCTGTGGCCAGATTTGCATAGCTTTGGACCAGCGGAACTTCAGGAAAGCGATTTGTATTCCAGAAGCATGTTAAATAAACAAGGCCCCAGACTCCGTGTCATTCTGGAACCTTAAACAGACTGTAAATGGCCCATGGGGAGCAACCCTGGTCTAAAGAGATTCTCCAGATGACACAGACCTGCCTCAGCAGTTCTACATCGCTGCCTGACACTGCGCTCGGGCTATTCTCAGCTGCTGCAAAGTCCCCTGGGGAGCCATGTATAATGCAGAGCTGTCCTGAGGCTCGGGAATGAAAAATAAATCTAGAACTCGATTCTGTTTGCCACTACAGAAGGCAAAACCTGGTGCTCTTTCTTCCCATGTGCAATAGCCTGGTGGTGACACAGGGCACTGAGGCAGTATGAGGCCTAGCTTCCAGCATCACAGAGGACCCACAGCCCTGAGGTCAGTAGATGCTCAGCACCTCTGGAAATCCAGCCCAAAGCAGTACTAGTGGGAGGGGGAGAGGAAAGGGAATGTTGCATTTTGTGTGGCTGTCTCCTTGGCTGCTTTTATCTCCTGTGTCATTCCCTCGTGATGCAGCCAAGCAGCATGTCGTGCCAGACCCTAGATATTTTGGGAGCATCTCGATCTCCCATGAAAATCAGGATGTCCTGCCTTCATGGGGATGACTAGCTGATGGGTTTGGCCTGGCACGGGAAGGATGTCTGCCTTTTGTAAAGGTTTTATCTCAAATGAGCACATTTTACTCTTCCCCCCCCGCCCTTCTCTCCTGATCTCAGTACAACAAAAACAAACATCGTTGGTGCTGAAAAGTACATGAGCATGCGCTTGTGGGATGGCATGTCAAAAATGAGGCTAAGAACTGGATGACCTGGAGATTGGAGTTTAGTTTCACCTGTGCACAAGGTATTTCCCATACTAGGCCCCCTGACAGGGGGAGAGAGGGCAAAGGGGGCAACTTACTCAAAGCCCTGAGATTCAAAAGGGCTTGGGTCTGCCAGCCAACACTGCGGCTGCTACTGCAGCCGTGGCCCCTGAAGTCCTGGGCCCTTTAAATCACCGCCAGAGCACCATACAGTATGCCCTGGGAAGCATTGAGGGCTGGGTTGCGGGGAGCTTTGATCTGGCGGTGCTGTGGGCTGGTTTCCCCTGGCTTGAGAGCTGTTCAATTAGTCTCTTTCACAAGAACAGCATCCAAAGAAGCCAATCAATGGGGGCGGGGGTGGGAGCAGAGGCCCACAGAGATGGCCTCAGCATTTTAAGGGCGATGTGCAAACATAAATGTAAGAGTGAGGGAAGCTCCTCAAAGTGGATCTGCTGTACCTTTGTGAGCCACAATACAGTTAAATACTAGCAAGAATGGACCTGATTCTCCACTATCTTGTAGCTTGTGGTGATGCTCACTAGTCTGATTTAGTAATGAGTTATATCCAGCTTGCTCAGGGGTAAAGGACTGGAGTAGAGATTCATACCCAGGGGATAAAAGTCTCAACCCTCAACCTTATGTAAGTCTTGAAACAAGGGTAACTGATTGGATAATATACTGAGACTTCTTACACTGTTAATAAAACCTGATGTGAGCTTCCTGACTATACACATTTCAACCCAATTTCTATTTGAACTCTGAACTCTAGTAGACAAAAACCTTCTTTGAAAGAAGCCATTTTGCTGGCTTGCCCCAGTGATGTCTGTAACTGCTTGCCACTCAACAACCTCCCATTCCATTATATCCCAACCTTTGAATGCAGTAGGAAGAGGAATGTGATAATACTACATTATCCAATACTTCCTTCTTCAGGACATTGATCAAATACAACATCCTTGTTAACTACTGTTATCCCCATTTTAAAAATGGGAAATTGAACCAGGCAAGTTAAATGACTTGTCTAAACTACATGGAAATTCTGTCAGAGTGAGGATTAGAACATAGGAGTCCAGGCACCCACTCCTATGTTCAAGCCCATAGACAGTTTTGCCTCTCAAGTAGCTTAAGTGCTCAATCAAAGTAACCTCAAAAATCAATTCAATTATTATCCACGATTAAACTTGCATTTTTAAAAATGGAAAACACAGTTAACTTTTCATTCCAGAACATCCATGAAATTGCTTCTGCATTATTCTGCCTTCCTTTTTTATTTTTTACCCAAGTTTGAAAAAGAGCTACTTTGAAAGCAATGCATCTTCACTTTAAGAAATGAGGAAGAGTGGAAGAAAGTAATATTATATTTTAGATCTTTAAATACGCATATATATATACATATATTACCTTTGGTATTAGTCTGGCCAAATATCAAAGATGAGATAAGATTTCCCAAGGCTCCAGAAGAATGGAATATTAGAAAGAAGATCCCAAAATACTGATTGATGACATCTCTTCCAATTTTTCCTGCCTTTTGGCCATATGAATTGCCAGCTATTGTGAGATAGGTGCATTTAGCAGACCAGAGAGGGGCTCCCCCAAGTCCCAGGATCATGGAGGTAGGGATTAGCGTGTACCTGCCAAAGAATACTTTCATTTAGTATCGATTTTTTTTAAAATCTGTTTGTCCATCTATCTGCCCTCCAAGACCGATCTTGGAGCACTGCATTTCATAAATAAAATACATAAGCCAAATTATTTCCAGAGCCTCAGATGCCTAACACACATGATAATACACCCAAACCATGGACAGTGTCTGCATCCTCTGTTTGTGGGGGGCTTAGCCACTGTCCTGCCTCAGGACTCTATTCCAGCTCTTACACACACACACCCCTCTCACCAGCAAAGACCCAACCTTCGAGGGGAAGGTGAGGGTGTGGGGTGGTTGGAGCAGCCCTAAACCCAGGCTAGCCTATTGCTGCCTGGAGCAGCCCCAGGCTAGTCCAGAAGAGCCCTGAGCCCTGACCTTGACTGCCCAGAATAGATCTGAGCTCTGCTCTGGCCTGGCCCAGCCCAGGGGCTGTACTGGGGGGCATTAGTGGAGGTTTGGACAGACTTAGCCTCCCTCAGAACCTGATGCCCTACCCCATGACCCAAACATATTCATCTTTTGTGTAAACTAGTGGAGTTATTGCAAGGACGAATCTGCCTCAATGAATTTTTACCAGGAAAGGGTGAGGTTTTAGAATGATGCCAACTCTATTTGGGGGTGTGGGTTGTACAGTTCATACTAGTCTGAGTTCATGAGCCTTTCCTTCTGCAATCTAAGGGCTGGATTATGCTTACACTGCATGGATGTAAAAGGGAGGGAGAGGGGGACAAAACAAGTAGCCTTCCCCTCCTGCTCACTGTCCCCCTACCCAATGAAGGGGTGGACTAGTGTTTGGCATGAAGGACACTACAGATTGATCTAACATGAGCTGCCCAGTTCCCCAATACCTCAGCAACCCCCGCAACCATTGGCTTAAAGATGCAATCTTGTCCTAAATATTTTTGAAAAAATTGCTAAAGGGAAAAAATCAACATTTTTGTTGCTAAAGGTAAGTCTGCTAGGCATTTGGAATAGAAGAAAAAGTCCCACAGTTAAGTGGCCTCAAATGGACGGTCTGCATTCAGTTCTATTTTTTTAGTTCTACTCTTTTCTCGTGTTCTATTTGTTTTTAATCCTTTCTTCATTCTGGGCTGGATATATTCGTTTCTACTCCATGATAGTCTCTTGCAATGTATCAGTAAAGTTCAAATTAGTGGTGTACTTTCTAATCCATAATACTAAAGCAGGATAGGAATGAGGCAAAACAAGCACATCCACACCTCATTGAAACAAATCGTGATTTATGCAAACAACTGAAATGTTAAAACGGGGGCTACATCTACACTGCAGGCTTCTTGCGCAAGAACCTTTTTGCGAAAGATCTTCCACAAAAAGTTCTTGTGCAAAAGAGCATCCACATTACAAAAGTGCATCGCAAAAGCAATGTGCTTTTGCGCAAGAGAGTGTCCACACTGCATGGATGCTCTTGCGCAAGAAAGCTCTGATGGCCATTGTGCTTTTTTCGATAGTCTGTTTTTGTGCAAGAAACCCCTGTTTGCCGTCCACACATGCCTTTTTGTGCAAGAGCTGTTGCACAAAAAGGCTTATTCCTTGTAAAAAGAGGAATAAATCTTGAACAATAAGCCCTCTCTTCTTATTATGTAAATTTTCTTACACAAAAACGTGCCTGTAGTGTGGACGTGACACAAGTTTTTGCACAAAACCAACCATTTTTGCGCAAAAACTCTGCAGTGTAGACGTAACCATAAAGTGAACAGAGTTGGGTCTCTCTATCTTTTTCTGCAGCTGGGTTAACCATTCTGAGGACTCACATTTGGGAAATTCTAGGGGATTTTGTTCATGTGATATCTTTTTTTTCCTAGGACAGACTCTGGCTGAAATGAAGTATTGAATATCCGACCACAAGATCAGTTCGTTTCTCCCTGCATCTTTTGTGCTATGAATATCCAAAATCAGTCCTTAAGGGCATGTCCACACTAGAAAATTATAAATAATAACTCCCAAAATAACTATTTTGAAATAAGCTTATTCTCCAAAGAAAGCAGGAGTTATTATTTTGAAATAATCAGCTCCTTATTTAGAAATAATGGGCTTGGTACTGTGGATATTTCAAAATAACTCCCTTCTGTAGACCAAGGCTAGAAGGCCCATTCAGCTTGGTTTTAGTTGGCATAGAGCAGTATTTACTAAGGGAGGGTAACCTTATGATCACCTACCCTACAAGAGTGATGGACATACAGAAGTGCAGCTTCAATGGTATGTTGTAGGGCAGGCTATCTATTTACTCAGCTATGGCTTTTCCTTTGTTACACTGGTCCAAAAAGCTGCATGCATTGAGCTATTTATTCATGAGAAGCTATTGATTGAAATAGAGAAATGGACTAGAACCAAAACAGTGAATCTAGGGAAGTTTGGTTTGGATCTGAACTTTTTAATTAGCTCTCAAATGAGCCAAACCTCAGATTTGAACAGTCTCAAAGTATGGGAAAGTTTGGCTCACCATCCAAACCTTTGCAGCTCAAGCCCATCTTAAAATGAACCAGAGGAGATTGGCTGGAGCAAAGTTTACCAACTTCTTGGCGCTCCTATCTCTGCAGTGACAGGAAACTAATTGTGTGGTATGAATCTAAGGAAGATACATTGCCCTTTGAGGTATCTAACCCAAGTGCAATGAATGGGGTTTCATTAGTTAAACTTTGGAACAGTGTAATAGACCATCAGTACCAGCTGGCATAGAAGTTGCCCAAAGAGTATGCGATGTAACAGCACATGGAGCCTGCAATGGTCCACTTGCAGCCCAGTCTCTTAATGAGGATTGGAGGGAGAAACATGGAAGAGAGGATGAGAGCTGCATAGATAACACTTAGTGAGGCAACACCAAGGCCTTCTTCAGAGTGGAGACTGCTCTGTGGAGACAAAAACAAGATGACCCAGAATTTACCATATGCATGTATTAAATAGGCACAGTGAGAAGGGGAGATGTGGTATCTGAAATATCAGCACTTGCAAAGCCACAAGGGTATGGATAGGAAAAGGGGAGTGGGGAAGGGGATACTCAAAACTTGGCTTTAGTCAGAGATAGGATGAAATCATCAGCTGGATCTATATTTTAACATCCCCGACCCCTCCAAGTTCCAGGGTTTTGGTATAACCTATCAAAGATAGGGACCACTTCTACATTTTTGATCCAGATTCAGGTTTGGACTCTAAATAGTTGAAACATTTGGGATGCAGAGTGGGGATCCGATCCAGAATTTCGGTTTGCCACCAACACAGTTTGGTTTTTAGAATAATGTGAATTTAGGAAAATCTGTTTTCCTTGTTTACTTTGAAATGAAAGTCTATCGATTCATACTCCTAAGTACTTTAAGCATAAGGTTTGAAAACTTCCTCAAAGGTTCAAATTCCAGAAAGAACTAGTTGGCCCTTCCCAGATAGATCTGTGTTCCATTCAGTTTACTTAATGCGGGAAGATTATTTCAAAGGATACCCCCAACAAATTGAAGTTGTGTGTTGCCTTGGAAGTCCCAGGGGATATTTTTGTAGGAGCATAAGGTCACTATGACATCGTTAGCCAAAACTACCCATCGCTATTATGACATGTTGCATGGTGGGCAGCCAGTTGTCTGCGTCTCTCCACTCCAGAGATGGGTGCTTTTCAGTGGTTAGCTACAAGTCTTGGACGTATAGAGAGTAATTAGTAGAGTGCACAAATGTGATAATTACAGGGGGCTTCCTGTTTACAACAATTAAACCAATTGTGTCTTTGGTCCATGGTTAGGGCTCCTAGATGCTACAGTCATATTAATAAATAAATCTTGGGTCAGGTCATGCTCTCCACTTCCATGAGCAGAAGAGGTTAAAGTTACATGCGATATGAAACTGGAATTTCCATTTCATGGGAAATTGTCATTTCACACAAAAACACACACACATACACACAAGCCCCCAGCTGACTGAAAAGCTAAAATTTTGAAGTTTCCCACAAAACAAAAATTCCCCAAAAGTTTGTTTTGGGAGCATAAGAATGGCATTTCAATAAGGTAAAAATGTGCTGTTTCTGCTTTCTCATTTTGATTTCTTTTGATTTTTATGTTGTTAATATTAAGCTATATAATACAAAGTTGAAATGAGAATCAAAATGATTGGTTTCAGCTTTGTGCCACTGAAAAACATTATTGGAAAACAACACTTTTCTGCAAGAAGTTTTTTATTTAGATGAAACTGCATTTTGATATTAAACTTGTCTGTTGCAGGATTTTTGACCAGCTGTTTAGAGTTCCAGGTCAGAATAATGCTGCCTGAAGAAATATTAATTTCTGCTACTTCCCTTCCATGATTGCCATTGTGCAGCCATAAGGAACTCATTTTTCAATAGGCATTCAAATTGGCTTGCAGAGTCTTATTTAAAAATCCATATTAAAAAAAAGCATTGCCAGCTCCGGGCATGTAACTACTATTAACTGGAACTCAAGAAATCACGAGATTGGTTTAAACATTCGTGAGATGAGAGAGAAATTCTTTGTGGTTCCTGCTAGGCTACAATGCAAACAGATAACCAGGCTTCAACTTTTTAGACTGTGTCTTAACAGGATTGTCCAATCATGTTAAGTTTACATGATTGAAAATGCACCCTTTTTCTTTATCAAGAGGGGGCCACAGAGGAGAACTATCTCCTGCATTACCAACATCCCTTCCTGCAGCATTCTGGGATTTTTGAACCAGCTTTTTTTTCTGAAATTTGATTTGAGATCTGACAAGATCACAACTTGAAGATCACGTGACGGGGAAGGGGGCATCCTGCTTTTGGCATTGTACAAGCCTGCAAACAAAACCGCATGCCTCTTTTTCATAGCCTACTTAGGTCTTAGGCATTTCTTTACAGATCGAGGCATTTCTAGAACTATTTCTGAAGATGATGTATTACGCCTAAATATCCTGTCTGTTTCTGAGCCATGCAAGTGCATAACAAGGATAAAATAATTAACAGAAGCTCTGGAACTTGGGCAAAATTCATTAGCTTTTGCAAGGCTGATAACTCAACTCACACCAGAAAATCACATGTATTCTTCAAAGATATCAAGAAAAGACTTTTACATTTCATACCCTTTGCATAGACTAATGCAACTATAGGGACAGCTATCATAGCAACTACTGGGACATATATCATAGCAATTACTACAGGTTGGACTTCCCAGGTCCTTCACCCTTGGGACCTGACCAGTCCTGGATGAGGGATTTTGCTGGGAATCTGTGACCCTCTGGGAAGTCACATGCTGCGGATCCCTGCCCCACTGAGCTACCATTGCTCTCAGACTCTCTGGGCAGCAACACACGTATCTCTCCCCGCCACAGGGCGACCTGCTGCCATGCACTGGACAGTGCCACTGTCAGCTTTGTTGTGGGCAGCCCTCTGCCCTGCCAGCCCTGCAGGGATCCTTGCCACTGGCCTTCCACCGGGACTTTCTGGTCCTGCAACATCTGTGCCGGACCATGGATGTTGCTGGACCAGAGAATCCCAGTTAAGTGAGTTTCAACTTGTAGTTATATTTACCTGCAGACTCTGGAGCCCTCCATATGCAATAAATAGAAGTAAAAATCCAAAAGAAATGATCAGAACATTTTTCAGATTGCTTTCCATGTTGGTTCATAGAAGACAAAGTCTTGTCAGTTCAAGGTGTTGATGAATGTCCCAGCTGGTGCTTAGGGGGGGAAACAGGATCTGCTTGTTGGTTAGGATTATTTCTCACTGCATCTGTAGCAGAAACACAACTGGCTAACAATTCTATCAGCCGTGAACTTTACTTTCTCTGATACTGAAAACTCCATATGAACCAGTTACTCAGTTGTTGGGAAGCAATAAAAATTAAGACTTATCAACTTGCATTAGATCTCTGTACTTTATATTCAAGTTCACAAAGCATTGCAAGAATGAGGCAAAATTTCATATTTCACCTGTATAGTATGTGGCTTCTTTCTTTCCCTGCACAGAAGAAAAGAATGCAGATAGTTAAATGTATAGCTGGAATACAATTACAGATAAACCTTAAAGGGCAAAGATTAAAAGGTCACCTGGCAATCTGTATCAGGTCTGTTCCTTAACTAAGTTTGCAAATCAGACAAACAGACCAGACTGTTTATGTAATTGGGTAATGTGAGATTGTTACTTAGATGGTTCCACAATCTTTACAAAGAGACAGCACACAAAAATAGGGGTGCTGCCTATTTCGTCTAAACATTGAAGATTCCCTACTCCCAGCAAAATGGGGTGGAATCTGATTTTACCCACCTGGGACTCAATCTGTCAGCTACTAGATGACACAGTGTTGCTGCTCAGACACACATTCAATCAAGACAAAATAAAGAAAGAAAGAAAAAGTCTAAATACTATTGTAACATGCCAAGAAGTCAAAGCTAGCTTCTGTTTTTGAGAAACATCCAGTTTCTAATGTTTGTTTGATCTTGTTTTATAATTCAAGTAAATGCAGAAGAAAAATATTCTTCCAGCCCTAGGTAGGAGTGAAGCTTTGGGGTTTTTTTGTTTGTTTTGAGAATAGCACATTTATAAGAAAATGCAAGAATTCCTAAATAGCCAGTGAAATACTGTTATAAAATAGGGTCTAATTTTCAGCTGAGCCTTAATCCAGCCTTTGGTTTGGAGTTGCAAATTATGGTAGTTGCATACCTAGCCTTCTCACATAGTGTTGGA